CTTTTTCTTATCATTCAAGCATTTGTTTTGTACACATATATTTATATGTCTGTATTGAAACTCCTACAGTATAACATTTTGTAGTGAACTGTATATTCTGGACAACAGGAAATCTTAGTAAAATATCTGACTCTGTAATCCATCTGGTCTGACCAGTTCTCATTTGTTAGGCATCTCTTATGATCAACATCTGGTGGGATTAGACTGCCCTGAACGACAAGGATTTAGCTTGCTGTACTTACATGCAGCTTTAGTGAACCAAAAGGTCATTGAAAATATCTGTTAAAAGCAAAGTAGTATGATTAATCTAAACATCATTAAATTAATTTTGTAACTGGCAGAGTTAGGATTAACTGAGTGAATTGTGCCTTTAAACATATAATTTGAAATAGTTTGAAATGTTGGTCAGTGGAGACCCCTAAATCTGAGCTAGCATAACTGACAGTTCATCAGGACTATCACCTTTCTTTACTGTTTTCCTCAGAAAAAAACCTGATAAAATTGGCTTGCAAAAAAATGAAATACTGTGGTCAAATGGATGCTAACTACTTACTACAGGTCATAAGATGCTTGCACTCATAATGTCTCTGAAGTGAGCAATCTCATCTCACCTGAAATAAAATCAGTATGTGTGCAACTTTTGTATCTTTGTGAGGGACCACGTTGTTTATGTATTGTACGCAGAGAATCATCACACAGAGTTCATGTAAGAAGTAAAAAAACAACCAAAATTCAGTGTCTGGGCTCTGAGAGCACCAAAAGCTCTTTCTGCCCCTGAGTAGCCCCCTAGGGCTGCACCCCCCTCACCCTTTTCCCATCCCTGACCCCATTTCAGCTCAACTCAGTGCCATCAGTCCATGCCCCGTGATGCTGTGGGGTGCTGGTTTCTCATTCTCTCCATCACAGCTATGGCTGGCAGGGACCCTGTAAGCTTGTCCTCAGTCCTGTCATTTTGGTATGGACCTGCCCAGCAACCATAGGTTCTGTCTGACCCTGGCTATTTTTACCAAACCTACTCCAGACTTGAGGATCGACTTCTCAGCTTTGCACTGGGCCTGCCTCATTACCATGGACTTGCATGGAGCTGTCACCGCCTGGCTGAAGCTGGCTGTTCTCTCCAAGACTGTCCTGCTGGCCTTGCTGGGTTGCTGGCTGGTGAGTCAGCCTAGTCCAGGGGCTGTGCACTTGTGCCCCATTTCCTTAGGGTGCCAGACCATGATGCTCCCCAACATTTTCTTCCTTTCCTTAAAGCTACATCCATTCTTTCTGTCATACAGACGACAAGTATGTTGAAATTTTATTTCCTCTAGACTCACCATTTTTAACAGCCCACTTCTATTTTCTATCTACTCTCTCAGTTTGATAGAGATTAAAGAAATTAAAATTTCTGCCTTTGCAGTGCAAGTTCATTATTCCTCAAAATCCCTGTATTTCTTCTTTCACAGGTGCAGGGTGAGGGACTTTGTTGTTCACCTCTCAAACATCACTAAATTTGATACAAGAGCTATGAGGTAGGCAAGTATTGCTGCCATCCACTTCACAAGAAAAATGTACAGCCTGACTTGGTAGCAAACTTTAAAAACCTTTATTTCAGTCATAGGAGCTGAATCAGAGGGCAGCTCTGGCAGAATGAGAAAGAAAAACCAGTTCTTTTGCATCCCATCTTTACTTTTGCCTAAAGCAAAAGAGCCATCCTTTTCTTCCTGCAAAAGCATCCCTTACAAACCTTTCATTTTTGGAACTTGCCCCTGAATAAACATATTTGCACCCCAGTAATTTTTGCAGTTTTTGTAGTATGGTGAAATACTGTTTTCATCTAGTTTTGTCGGCAGAACAGTGCAAAAGTGTCTTTCACTGGTTTGTGAAAATTTTCAGGTTTATCGGTGACCAGGGTTGGAGTTCCTGTTTTGGGAAAATGAAATATTGCTGTCTTTAAAGTACATAAAGTTGATATAAACAGACATAGAGCTACAGCCTTTATTAAATTGTTAACAAGGGTCTAAACTCCCATGGAATAACACTGCTTCTGTGTTGTAGTTGGTGCAAAATTTCCTTAGCAACAGTAGATCCTCATAAAAACTTAATGCAGTTTTGTTACCACTTTCTTACAGCAGTTTCTGAAAGTGGAAATGATCCTATTTACACAACAAAAACTAGAAGCACAGTAGTTTACATTTCTCCTTACTTGGAGTTGGTGGAATGAAAAGATTGCTGCTGAGCTCTAAAACTGCTTGTACTAAAACTGCTGGTGATAAGCTTTCCAGGACTGCAAGCATCTGCTAAAACAAACCATGCAGCATTTTGTATTCTCAGTTTCACAAATTTCTTCCAAAATAGGAATGTTTGCATCAGGATTGGCAGCTCTAGAAATCGAGGTGACTGACTTTGGACCTAAATCCAAATCAGAAGATTCTGTAGTTAAATTTATCTGAAAGAAGTCAAGAACCTCTGTAGAAAGAAAAACACAAGTTTCCATTCCATGATCTTTTCATAAGGGAAGAAAAGAACCTGAGGTTGGTGGGAAAAAAAGAATGGAAATAGGAAGTAAATACTGGAAAATACAGTAAAAACGCTCTCAGACCAGGGACATAAGATGACATGTGTCAGACATAGGTCAGAGCATGGAAAGGAAAACATTTTCTTTTAGAAAAACCTTTTAAATTCTTACAAAGCTGCTAATATCTTGTTGGGATAATGGGGACGAATCACCTTTCTTTTGGCAAAATCTCCACAACAGATGCATCTGGAAAGCAGCAAATATCTGCTTGAAGCAGTAAAGGCAAAGGTTTTTAACTTCTTTGGCACAAAATCTAGTAAGGTGTGTCTTTTGGGAGATAATCAGTAGATAAATGAAAAGCCTAGGAGCTCTGAAAGCCACAGATACTTTGCTTCTAGCAGATGAGCCAGGGGAGATGTCAAAGGAATTTCTCAGTGGCTGAATTTAAATAAGTGCTGCTCAGAAATAACCCCAAACATACGCAATTTAATTCCTCAAGTGCAAAGTTCTGAAGGGATGGAATCCCAACAAGTCAGTAGACAGCCTGAAGTATAATTTTTATAATCATCAGCCTTGTGCCCACACTGAAGCCTATCCATAAGTATTAATAATATTTAATGTGTGTTTTTTGTAATTGTTCTTACATTAATAATGGTCTAATTTGACTAGACAGTGTTTGGTAAATCAGCTGTTTTCTGCTCAGTTTAGCTTAGTGTTAATCTAGTCTTTCTTTGATTAAAAGACTGACTAGCATTGGTCAGAAAAGATCAGAAAAGCATACCTGAAACTAAAAAAATTCTTGTCATACAGAAGAAAATAGTTCAGTATTGGGTAGAAGCATATGACAGATTGTATTCCTTTGGAAAGTACATTGATGCTAAGTAAGGAAAATGCTACTTTTTGTCAGCAGCAAATGATAGTTCTAGTGTTCTCTTACACTAGGTAGAAGGATTTTGGACATTGGCTAAACTATGATCAAGAGAGGTTTATTTTCTTTTGTTATCACAGATGTTTGGGTTTGTTGTTTTTTTTTAATTATTTGTATCAAGAAAAACCTCTTGTAAGGAGCAGTTAATGGCATTGCTGGAAAATAACAATAATTCAGTTTTACAAGTATAGAAGCAGAAGAAGTCACTACTGATCACTTTCTGTGAACACATTTTCACAGAATGAGTTTAAAAACTGGTAGCATCACAGAAGGATAAAGGATGTAACAAGTCTTGGCGGGCTGAGCATTCTGACTTGCTTCTCTGAGATAAAACAATTTTTAATAAAAAGTTACTTATATGTCCATTTGTTCTAATCATTATAAAAGGTTATAAAGTAAAAAAATGTGTCTTAGTAATTTTAAAGCATGACTAAAGGGAATAAGATGACATAAAGGCCATGAAAGAAGTAATTAAGGCAGCTGGTGTAGTGATGATTGTCAGGAAATGACCCATACAGAGGGTCATCAGAAATCATATGATGCACAGGCTTCTAAATTCTCCTGTTTAATATCATGTTTCTTCCATCCTCTTTTTTCTGTGTTTGCATGTGGGATACCTGTTTTACACTGATTTGCTTCTCCTATTTCTGTTATTACAAACAAATTAAATAGACAACCACTGCAATTGATGTGATCATAATTCTATTAACTTAAAATTGGTATGCCACTCTCTTCATTTCAGTCTGTAATCATGTTGCAGAATAAAATTATTTTTGCTTATCTATTAGGAATAGTAATGTAAAACTGGTTTTGCACTTGTGTGGCTGGAGGAAAACCAGCAGCAATTAAGACAGATAACCTTAAAGTAGTTATACGGGGAAAACCCTAAATCAGAAAGACAGATTGCTTTGTATGTTGTCTGGCTTCTTTGTGCTATTAGACATCTCAATGAGGACAGTCTTGTCACTATTAAACAGGTGAAAAATCTGCTAGTACCTAATGGCATGTGCCACCTTCAAGCCAGCTGTACCTGTTGCTGCCCCATGGCGTGATGAATGGTCTGAGAGGGGTAGGGCACAGAGGAGTTCATTAGGCTTTATCAGGCCCTAAGTGATGTAAGCTAAGCTCTGCTGATCCATGCTAGGACCAGCTAGCATGGATCAGCTGAAATAAGTACTTGAGAGTGTATAAGGGTTCCCTTGATAAGTCTTTTCTCTTTATACTGTCTCATACATCACTTTGGCTACAACAAAGTTTTTGGTCCTAACAGCCCTGGGAACACAGAAGAGTTGCCCACCCCGTGACACAAAGTGGGAGCTCAGTTTGTGGGGCTGTGTGTGAACTTCTTTTGCCAATCATAATAACATACTTTACATGGTACAGCCATTGATAGCAGACTGTGGTCGTAGGGGAATAGCACCTTGATCACATTTTAGGCGAAATGGAAAAAACTATGTGGGTGCATAGATCATCGTCTAGATCATTGCTTGTCATTACAGGTATAAATGCAGTCCATCTGCTTCCTTCTCACTGGCTCTCGGTTCACTGGTTTGCCTTTTTCTCAACTTGTGACAGGTGAGGAATAATCTGACTGGCGTCCTTGATGGCAAAGACATCGAGATTTCAGATACTGAGAGTTTTTCCGATGATCCCTGCACAAGTGTAAAGAAGCTTAAGGTATGTGTTGCTGTTTGATGAAAAAGAGAAAGTGGTGATGGTTTTTTTTCTATGAAGAGGAGTAAGGAAATGAAATTTGTGTTAGAATGATGTATCATTATATTCCATTGCATAATAATATTTAAAAAAAAAGGCATTTTGAGGTCCTAGACCTTCTTAAGTTAATGAAAGTGTATAGTAAATATTTTTGATAGTTCCCAATAGTGGTACTAAACAAAGGAAGTTGTTGCTGGCTTAATGTTTGCAGTTGAAGCCCCAGTCATAGTGGGAAAACTCTTGAGGTTTGGAACCAGAACCCTTTTAAGGTAAATTATCATGTAGAATTGAGCCTCTTTCCATTAGCTTCATTGCACATTTTAAATTGAATTCTTTGCTAACATCATCTGCATGATTTCAAATGAATCACAAGGAGAAAAGAAGAAAAAAAATTTGGTAGCAGAATAATTTCTCATCCTTCTCTTATTGTATTGATTTATTAGACTTCTGGCATCTCATAAAATTAAAACTATATTTTAGCATTACCATACAGCACAACCAGCAATAAACTAGACACAGGAGAGATGAATCTTAAACTGCACAGGAACATGAAACAAATGATTGAACAGCAGGAGAAAGCACTTTTAAATGGCAAAGATCAAATTGTTTCTGGCATCAAGTGCAAATGACACACAATCAAAGCCACAGTCTTGCAAATGCTTAAATATGTGTAAAACAGGATGCAAAAAAGAACTTAATAAACTAAATTATGTTTAAAAAAATTACATTAAAGCAATATTGACCTGTGTAAGACTAGACCACTACTGAACCTGCAAAGGTTCTGGAGCATGGTAAACTAAGTGGGATTTATTATTGTCACAATCTAGAAACCTAAGCCTGAATGTTTAAAGTATTAATAAGTAAAGTTTATGTTTGTGGAAAGCCAATGTTTGTCCAGTCTAAGCCAGTTTGTTTTTCTGTCTGGAAACCTGTCTGGGTTGAAGACACTCCTGTAGGTGTTACAGTAAAGTCCGTATTTTTGACTAGGAATGGTGTAATAACAAGAAAAATATGCATATTAAGCATGCATCTTTAGGCTGGAAGTCAGAAGAAGCAATGTGGTTTTAGCTGTCCTCTGCATCAGCAACACACTGGGTTGTTTTGCAGGGAATTCCAGATGAGCTAACAGTATATTTGTTATCTCTTGATTTCTTCTTCAAAGCAAATTAGTAAAATAATAAATAAGGAATTATCCAGAAAATTTCTTGCTCTTGACAGAAACATAAGGTTAGTTATCATTAGGTACATGTTTGACAGAGAATTTAGCTAAACAATTCTAATAATGTTAATTCCTTTCTTCTACACGTAAACCTCATATCTAATGTAAGCTGCTATCTGCTCACCTGAAATACCTTTTATTTTCACAAACACATTTAAATTAATGAAACTGATGATTATGGAATGGGAAATAGCAAAGTCTGGTATGATTTGCAGAAATATACCTTTATATTTTATATTTCTCTCAGTAACACCTTCGTTTCTACTGCATTGACTGCACAGTTAAAAGGCAAATTTAAGCAGAAGTATATCTTTAAAATTCATTTTTGTGCTCAGAGAAAGGTATGGATTTGTACATCCATGTAAATGCTTGAAAATTCTAACATATGCAGACAAATTGCAAGAGCAATAACACTTCTGCTTCCAACTTTTTTTGTGTCTTGCATGTCGGACAAAATAATTACCATCATGTTATGATTGTGGGAGTTGATGTCCTCTAGTTCACCTTCACCATCAGTGATTCCATAGCTAAGGTCAGAGGCTTATCTATAGTTCTTCAAGTGGACATCCAGGCATTTAGAAGGCAGAACACTCTTTTGTCAAAGGTACCCAGGATTTTGTAGATTTATCGATAACCTCTTGACTGTCAGATATGTGGTAGAGAATAAGACAGAGTATCTGAGCTATTCAATTTAGGCATCTCATAAAGAGCCTGCCAAGACGTTGACTTTTCCTGGCAGATGAGATATTGTAGCAATCCTTCTCTGAAAAGCTATATAATACAACATTGTGGTGTTATTCATTAGAAATGAGGCAGATTAAAATCTGATCAAAGAAAGGAAGCTCTGAAGGCTGAAAAAAAAATAGCTGCCTATTTCAGCATAAAATGCATCACTCAAAAACTCTGAAAAGGCTAAAGAGTCTCTCGTGTCTGAGGCTGTTAGAAATGGCACTGAAGGAGACAAGTTGTTCTTCATCCCTCAGGAGAGCATCTTAGATGTGTTGATCCTCACTCTCTTCAAGGTTTATATTACTCAGCTCCTGGTGCTACCAAAGACATTTTATATTTAGTAACCAAATAATATCCTCACCTATGAGAAAGAAAGAAAGCAAGAAAGAAAGCAAGAAAGAAAGAAAGCAAGAAAGAAAGAAAAAAAGAAAAAGAAAAAGAAAGAAAGAAAGAGAAAGGAGAAAAAGAGTCATTATTTTTTGAGGCTGTGCTATAGTCTTAATTTATAAAACATGTTTTTATGCAGGGTTTGCCACAACTGTGGGTAAATGAAATGTAACTGTTCTTCATTTTCTTGTTTGAACTTCAGTCCATATGGGAACATATGTATTTCTTACTGAGGGGCAAAGCTTAAATGCTGATATTGCTACTGTAATCTCTGGGAAGAGTAAATATGACAGCTCACCATCTGGCAAACAGTCTAAACATTGGTCTTTTTATGTAAGTGCAGTTTTGGGAGTTGCCTTCCCCCTGGGATGTTTTTAATCATCTTGTAGATCACCTGCCTAGTTCCATGAATTAAAACCTCTTCTGCCAAATATGTTTTAGCTCCATGCAAGCAATTTACAGCTCTCTGAAAAAGAGGCTTGACACTTGCAGAGATCTAGTGGGTGATTTCTTTGATCCCTATGAGGAAGTTCCACTGTGTTAACTTGCATCATTCTGCATGGGTTTCAGTAAAGGACGAGTATATCCTTGCAAGGAAATCATGCTTGTTTATAGTCAGTTAACAATATGAATGAAGGGGTAAAAAAGTTTTGCCCAGCAGGCATCTGATGTATCACTCTGTAATGTGGACTTTGACCCACGAGCACTGACATGACCCCAGCTCTGATACACTTGGGTGCAGATTTCATTGTCCATGCAGATAAAACCTCTGCAAGGACTTGAGCTATGTGCAGCTGCATGAATTTGAAGCTTCAGTGTCTCTTATGTGAGATGGAGCCAGCAGACCCAAGCCTGGCATCCAATGGATCTAGGCTTATTTGCAATCTTGAATGCAATTCTTCAAGAACAAATCTGGGGAAAATGTGGAATGGAATGCAGAAAGTGGAGTTCAGGAGGAAGAGGCTGGCTGAGGAGTGTGTCATTGCACAGAGGAAGGATCCTGTGCATGAAAGAGGGAGAGCTGCTGTACAGACTTTCCTAAATTAGCTCCTAAATTACGTGTGTTCTGACACACAATTCTTTGGTTACATGATTGCATACTAAATTATGTTATAACCAGGTGGAAGCAATGTCTTAAGGTGTGAAACCACACACCACAGGCACTATGACTTCAGTCTGGATGTTGTCATACATCCAGTGGGCAGCATTGCTGTGTGTGTGCTCTGGGATTATTATTGATGAAGCCACACAGTTTACATATTGTGTTTGTTTGTTTATTCTTTTAATTGGTTCTCATCATGTTATGAAATAGAAAGGAATTTCTTCAATTTTAAGTTTAATTATTAGGTGCTGTGCCATTTATTTTTAATCAAACTCTGCTACTCTTTTATTCAAATATTAAGTCTGCGTTTTTATCTTCAGAGCAGTCAAGTGACTCAGAGCTGAGGTTCCAAGAATAACTAAATTATTTTTAAAATGTGACAAAAAAGAAATAGTAGATGAGGTGAGGGAGTTTTTTTGTGCATAATTCCTAAATCTATTTATTGGCTTTACAAAAATGGTAATACTATTGATGTAATTTGTGTAATTTGTTTGTTTAGTTTCATGTAACCTTGTTAGATTTTGTTTATAAAGAATCTAATCCACTTGAAAAAGATTTACATTACTTTATCAGTCTGTGGCTAAATATAAAAATGAAGAGAAGCAGGCTTGCTGAAAATGCACAGGTTCAGAATGAGCAAAGCACATTACATTATTTCTGATTTAAACCATGCTAAGAGTGATACTGTTTTCATGCATTTAATTACAGAGGCATTCTAATATCTTACTGCACTGTCCATCATAATATTTTCTGCTAAACAAGAAATAAACAGTGAAATTATCTGAGCTAAAAGTCTTTGACAAATTGATTTAATTAAAACTTAAATGTTTTTTGCCATTGAAAATTGTACCGAAACATGTGTTTGTTTTTTCCTTGGAGAGTGAAAGAGTTATTAGTAATTTTAAACAGGTCTTATATAAAAGAAATGAAAAAAATTATTTGCTCAAGCTTTTGCAGAGAACTCTGCCTTTGTGTGAAAGAAAAGGTAGTGTGAAGCCATAAAAGTGTGTTTTATGGATATTAGAAATAATTTTTCATGTTAGGAAGAGGTTAGTCCTGTTCGTAGAGAAATATTTTCCTGCATAAGCTCCTGAATTTAGGAAGACTCTCTTAATATGTTTCTAAGTATGAAAGTAAAATTGTCTTTGGTCTTCAGTCATAGGTTCTTAAACTGTGATTTTTTTTTAGTGTTTGGAGGTGGAAGGGAGTAGAGAGGGAGTTGACAATATGTTGTAGTGACTGTAGAGAAGATGTTGTGTGAGTAAAACCTTTAAAAATTACTAAAGCAGGTGTAATATCAGGGCATTTAATCTCACAAATCTAATTTCTTAATTTTACTGTTTTATTTCATGCAGACAATGATAAGTTTATGTTTTCAACTGGTTCTAATATGCAAAATTGCAGTAGAAATACTGCAAAGAAACAAACGAATATTTGATATTTTAGTGTTATTGAATACTAATATTTGACTGTAGTATCAGTTTTACTCTCATTACTACTATAGACTAATAATCTTCTGCACCTCAGCTTTTTTTTTTCTTCTGCGGTACTTCAGGTTCTTGAACTTATAGAAGATGAAACAGTTCTGTGTTAATTCTGTCTGCAGCTGTAATCTGTGCTAACTCCCTGCATGATCTGAATGGCCAATTAAAGTTACCACTTTCTGGAAGCTGCGACTGTGTTTAACTGCCCCTTATTTTATTCCATCTGCAGGGCAATGACGTTCGGATAATCCTTGGCCAGTTTAATGAGGAAATGGCTGTGAAAGTTTTCTGCTGTGTAAGTAAATACATTTAATTGCACATCAGAATAAAGAATGTGCTGCGTTTGATAAAAAAGTAACTTGAGCATAAACATTTCTTCATGGAGTTCAGCTCTGTGAAGGTTTATATCCTAAATAGAGGTTACACATCTGTAGTTCCATTTCTCTTTCAATAAAATGCTTTGTCTTCAGTGAAATTTAGGCATAGACTGCGTGGTTAGCTTCTTATCACTTTCCTGTAGTGGAATTAACTGCTAAATCAAACTTGAGCATTGCTCTTCACATCAGATCCAGGGAAATACTTGCATATGTAGCAGCAGATAGAGCTAGAGCTGCAAGATTTCAGTCTTGTCCAAGGGCTGTGTTCTGGTGATAATATCTGTATGTATGGGCTTGGTGTGTTTTGCTTTTAAAGAATAAGAAATTCAAGCCAGTTCCTATACATTCTAACTCTGCAACACTAATAATTTCTACTACTAAAAATGTTGCTAATTGTACAGTTGTCATTCCCATCTGATTGCTGTACATTTTACATGTATTACATGAAAGCAAATATTAGTTGGTAAAAAATAAAATTTTTTTAACCATAACAGTAAGACTAGCAAACATAAAATTCCCTATCCTCACAATTTATTTTGTGAATGTGCTGCAAACTTATCCACTGTTATTGCCTGTAAAAGTAGCAGGATTAAACTGTGGATCTATACTTGTACCAGACTGAAAACAAATACGAAAGAGAAAGATTTTAGTGGCCTAAGTATTGAGTTCTTAGTCTAAATAGTTTGATTAGTTAGAACATAGTAAATATAATGGAAAAGCAATAAAGACAGCATCTAAATTTCCAAGGGTGTTTTTTAGTGTTCACTTAGTGAGGCAGTTACCTATCCTTGGAAAGAAAGGAAAGGCAGAAGTTTAAAATCTGAGTGCTACATGTGTCCCAGCAGCTGTCCCAGTTGGTGGCAAAATTTGGAAAGGAGAGTGTAGAATATATTTGGAAGGAACAAAATCTGTTTTCATCCAAAAGGAAATGGAAAGCATTATTTTATTTTTTCATTCTTCAAATCTCTTATAGGTCTTTATATATAGATCTTTTTGTACTGCTACTTAAATTGGATTGATAGAGATAATCTTCTGTTTTTTCATTCCTGGAAGAAAGAATGGTACTTCTGCAGCCCAGAACCTCCTCGGATCTCTTGGGATTGGGCTGCATTTCCCCAGCAGAGGGGTCCTGGTCAGAATTATCTTCCAATCCAACATTAGCAAGAGATTGGCCTCATTTCTAGTTGCCCTTAATTTCTAGTTGCATTTCTCTAGAATTCTCTTTCAAATCCATGTTCATGTGAGGCCACTGAAGAAATCTCAGAATTCCTTAGAGGGGCAGGCTGTCCTTTAGTCTGCATTGCTGACATCTGAAGGGTTCCAGGGAGAGGCTGTCTCTGTCACAGGAGTGCCAGCCACAGGTTTCTGTGGCTAGGGTTTGGTGTGAACGTGGGAAACGTGCATAACTCTGAGAGGTTCAAAGCATGATGGCTGCTTCTAAAGTACATTAGTGTCAAAAATAATAAGGTGGATTTTTCTGGAGCTTGGAGAAATCTGAAAGATCATGTATTTAGGCTTGTTTAAATGTATTTATTTGAGAGTTTCAGCAGGAGACAATGCAGGAGAGGGCAGTTCAAAGTAGGTCATTTATATATTAATGCACTACAATATGTCAGAAGGCTTGTTATTAGTCACAAAATATATTATTGACTCATGCACTCCTACAGATACATGTCTAAGAGGACAATAAATATGTCAAGTTTTTAAGCTCCTCTTTTTCAGGTGTGTCTTCAGACAGATTTCACTTGTGATTCCTTGTTATATTCTGCAGGGTTACTGATGTCAGTCAGAAAAAGGCTTTGAGTTTGTTAAAGGAAGTTGCTTTTTCACTAATGCAAGATTTATTTTTTCCCTGATTGTGATTATATCCTAAATATTATTTGGTAATGACTTACGTAGGTGGTAAAATCTTTAAAGTTTGCCTTACTTTTCTGCCTGTATTCAATAGTCATATTCTGTAAGGCTTCCCCAGGACATCCATAGGAGTTTATATAAAATGATAGAACCATTTTGGTTGTAAAGACCTTTAAGATTATCAAGTCCAGCCATTAACCCAGCACTGCCAGGTCTACCACTAAGTAATGTCCCTAAGTGCCTCATCTGCACATCTTTTGAATGCCTCCTATGATGGTGACTCAACTTCTTCCCTGGTCCCTGATAATCTTTTCAGTGAAGAAGTCTTAATATCCAATCTAAATTGCAAATTCAGATAATTTCCTCTTTTCCTATTCCTTGTTATTTGGAAGAAGAGACCAACACTCACACCCACAAAAAAAATTGGACTAAAAGATAGTATAATGCAGTAGCAAACTTTAAAAACAGGACAGGACTGGTTCAAGCCAAAGTGAATGCTGGCAGGCATTTCCTACAAGGATTTAAATAAGTTTAGCTGTTCATTTATCACCAGTGTCAAAAACAGTGAGCAATTTTAGTTCTGTGGGAAATCTTAGCTTTATAATTAATTTTCACCTCTGTGGGGTGAATGTGATGTTTTCTTGGAATAGAAATTAGGGCCTTTTTGGTCAAAACTTAATACTTCAACAATCACCAAATTGCCAATAATTGTTTGCTACACATAAGAAATATCTATCGCATGAATCTCTTTGTTGTAAACAAGCATTTATTTATGGATTCAAACAAGAATAAAATGCTTTAAAATAAAAAAATAAAAATTCAGTTTCACAAGGGCAAAAATTGTCCATGACAGTTTCCTGGCTCCTTGACAGCAACTCAGGGCTTTGCATTCTACATAGGGCATGGGAGAAAGATTAAGGAAAATGTATGACTACTTTATGCTGTTCTGGTGGTACAAAGTATGTGCAAACCTTCTTCAGCTTGCTCTTGTCTGCCAAAAAATCTTCCCCTTAGAACTGAAACATGTAAATATTGGTCTGTGTGCACTCAAACAGTTGAATAAAACTCCATGTGTTTCAAGTACTTTTATCATTTAAGCATCAAAATCATCTCCATTTAGCAGAATCAACAGGGAGAAAATGGTGGCAAAAAAGCATTATTTTGCAATAAGTCTTCTGGGACCCAAACATTGAATACTGTCAGCTGTGCTGTCACTAGAAAAATGACTGCATGGTCATGATGCTCAGCCTCAGTGGATCTGATTTTCTTCCCACTTTTGCCTTCCCCAGACTACCCTTCAATCCCTGTCATTCCACTGTATCTCAAAGGAAGAGCTGACAGCTCTTAAAGTGTTTGTTTTGCCTTTTGTTAAACCAGATTGTTGCAGAAGTGTGGAAGTGTACCCAGTCTTTCAGGCAATCATGTTGGGAATGGTCCCTTGTTTCCAGGATGAAATTTCTGGCTATTTTGAAACTTTCAATTTTCAGCTGATTTTCCAGGGCGTTCTCAGATTATGCAGGAAACAGTACAAGTGCTTATGCAAACAAAATTTCCAGCAGCTCTAATTCCAGAATAGTTCACAGCCAATACTTTCTGGCAATACACAATTTGATACTTTAATCTCTTTAATAGAGCAGGGGAAGCTATGTAAGACCGTCCTTCTCTAAAAGCACTATTCCGAGTCAGTTTGCATCCTCATGATTAAAAAACTGTGAGATAAAAAACACTGAGTGACTGAAAGGTCTTGAATGACCTAACTGTATAATGCAAACTCTTTTAGAAGGAAGTACTGCAGGATGGAATTGCCATTTTCCTCTCAAGTGGCCCTGGAATACAGTGTCTCCATAGCTGTGCAGGAGGGCAGGAGGACAGAAGCAGATATGTTTCTGGAAGGGCAGAATTAACAAGCAAGAGAAAGACAAACTGTTTATATGGATTGTGGAATAATATATGAGATGCAAGACACCAGGTTTCAGACTGGACTTTCAAGCAGCAATGTATACAAAGGCACGAAATTTGATTTTGTCTGAACAAAAGCTTCTGCAACCAGGAGCCAAATAAATCTGCTTTGTGCACAATACTGTTATGAACTGAGCTGGCACCATTATAATAGACTTCACAGATTTAAAGCCCATTTTCAATTTGGGTATTAACATATTTAGGAGGTTTTCCTATTTCATATCTTCTGTTATTGATCTTTACTTCTCTGATAGGCTTTTTGTATGATCTTTGGGATACTTTTCAAAAGTATTTCAGAATTACTAATGTGTCCTGTTTTCATTCTTATGATTTCCTTCTTCTGTAATACTTTTTGTGAAAATGAAGGAGTTTTCCTATTAAGAGCTCTAAGCTTGCACCACATATTTCTAAAAATTGGAATTTTTATCTTAGGCCTTCTATCTCAAGTATTGCCTATATTATGAGCCAAAGAAGCATGAAACCTGCAGTTTTGAAATGGAGTCTGACTGAAATGTCAAAAGAAAAATATCTAGTTGCAAGACAGTGAGAAACATCTGAGATAAAATTTGCTAATTTTATCCTAGAACACTCTTCCCAATCAAAGAGAATATTTGAGAATACATCAGCTTTTAGGTACAACAGCATATGTGCCTGACTAAGAAAGTATTTCTGTTTCCTGTTATATATATCTGCTAAGTATTGAGAGGAGATAACTAAAATCTCAGTATCTTGGATTACAGTGGGTTGTATTCAGTATTCCAACAATATAGAATTTCATATGAAGAAATTAAAATTGACATTTAAAATGACAAAAATATTTTTTTTTTTATTTCTTGCTGAGAAAAAAAAAATCATTAATATTTTGCTTTATCAATTCACTATTCACTCATGCTCCTCAGGAGGAACTGCTAACTTAATGTTACTGTGGTCTGCTTTTTAGCACTCACCTAATTCATATTTTCCACGTGTGATTCAATGGTGCCTATAATCCAAGTTTTCTTGTTAACCTAGTCCTTAAGGGTGATAATTACTTAGTTTAAATGTGGTAGCATGGTAGTTCTATCGCTCAGGTAATAGTTGTGTTGTAAAGAACTTTCTGTGGAAAGCTGTGCCTTCTGTTTGTGTTCCTCTTTAACTCCCTCAGTTCTAGAATACAATTTCATTTTTCTGCTTTTTAAGAAATGATCCATTGAAAGAAAAACAGGGTTTAGTAAATTCTCATGTCCTGAATTCTAAAGTCAGGAGTCTTCCAAAAAAGTCTTCATTATTAGCAAGTAATTATTCTAAACTGCTTAAAATACTTCTGTATGCCAATTATCATAATTTCATTAATAATTTTAAAACGTTAACGAAAAGCAATTAGTTTTATGTTCAATGCCTCTATTACAATGTCCATTATCTTTTCTGTTTTTCTTATTTGCAGGCTTATGATGAAGAAATGTATGGCAGCAAATATCAGTGGATTATTCCAGGGTGGTATGAAAATCTTTGGTGGGAAGCCTGGATTAATTCCTCACAGTGTCTCATCAAAAATCTTCTTGCAGCCATGGAGGGTTATATTGGAGTGGATTTTGAGCCTCTCAGCTCAAAAACAAATAAGACTATATCAGGAAGGGTTAGTATTTCTCTTCCATGTATTTTATTGTACCATCAGTTCCTCACTGCTGGGTTGGCACAGTAGAGCACCAAGGAGGGAGATGAAGCTAAAGGGTTCTTCTACCAAGTGACCTGGAAGTAATCACAGTTAGTTTCACTACTTAATCACTAGTTAGTTTCACTAGTTTGCAATTTTAAAATATTTCAAAATCAAATCTAATTCTCTGCAGGGTAAGAAAGCAGTGAAGTCCCTTGCTTCAAATCTGCCCTCTTCCTCCAGTATGAACATTGTAGTTAAATGTACATTAAAGTTTGAATTACAGTCTTTAGTATCATGTGCTGTGTCACTTCAAGTTAAATAGTTAAACACAGAAACAGAAAACTCTCATATTTAAACTGTTCTGCAAATGGCAATTTGAATGGTGATTTGTGTCTCTCAGAACCAGGGAGCAGGAGGTGAGGCTTGTTTTAAATATAAAAATATATGGTTTTTCCATAAAGCACACAAAATTTTATCACAGAACAAATCCATACAAACCAATGAATAAACATGCCTGATTTTGCTGCTTTTCATCTTTTTGCCCCATCTGCCTTTCATTCCTTGCTGAGTGAGCATCAAAGACAACTTTAGTGAAGGATAGCTCATCATATGACAGCACACCATGCAGAACATAGTGAACTTGTAAAATATAGACAAATATCCACTCAAAATTTCATATTGAGCAAACGGTTGCTCAAGTAAAGGTTATTTGATTTGTGTTATCCTGTAAAGTGTAATCAGATCACTAATTTGCAGGAATAGAGACTTATTCCCTGTTCTAGTATTAGGGCTCACCATTGTAAAGTTTTGGTTGAACTGGAGCCTTTTGTACAAAAGTAAAATAAAGCAAGTTGTCATTTATACAGTAAATAAGCAGTACAACTGCTTTCAGTATCTCTGTCTCCTAGTTCTGCTTCCCAATCTCACCAGCAGTTTTTAAATCAGGCAATACATGTTTCTGGAATTTTATTTTCTTTCATAATTTTTATCTTGGAGGCCTTTTCTGTATTAGTTATGCACATCTCTAAATTGGAGGCTGCAGTTTGAGGTGTTGGTTTAGATTCAGCTGTGTAAAGTGCTGAGGTAAAACTGAATTTTATCTCCTCTGCAGACTCCACAGCAGTATGAAAAGGAATACAATGCTAGACGTGGTGATGGGCAATCCAGCAAATTTCACGGTTATGCCTATGATGGAATATGGGTGATTGCCAGCACCCTACAGCGGGCAATGAAACACCTGAATTCCACCAACAAGCACCAAAAAATTGAAGATTTTAACTACTCAAATCAAAAACTCGGCAACATTTTTCTGAATGCTATGAATGAAACCAGGTTCTTTGGAGTAACGGTAAGTCCTCATCAGATAACTGTGGGGTGCAGGAGGCTTGTGTCAGTAATTGAAACAAGTACTAAATGTTAAGAAATACTGAAAAAGAAAAAGAAAACAGAGTTGTTTATTTCTTCTATCTTCAGAGCTTCCAGTTCCATTTTATATTAAAAATTAATGCCTCAACAGTCTTGCTCATTACCTATGTTCAGATGCTAAGGGATGACACTGTACAATTCCTCAGTTATCAGACTTTTAAGCATGAATGTCATCTGAATTAACAATCAGAGTGGTCTCAAGGGAACCACAAGTTTTGCAAGCTGCAGTGACCTTTTAAGTAAATGTTTTAGCAGTTAAGGAGTAATTGGAATGTGATCTGAAAATACATATTTCTCTCCATCATTTAGGGTTGATAATAGGCTAGAGTGCACTGTCTCTGTCTCCAGTGCTGTACATCCTAGATGTTCTTGCAACATGCTTCAGTTATGATTTAAATTTATTTATAATTTGTATTTTTTCACAGTTCAGTGCAAAGCATGCTCGCATTGCCTTAAGAATTGTTCATATGCAGTAGTATCATCCTTCTGGTTTCAATTGTACAATTGCAAACCCTTAGGTTTTTTTTTTTTTTTTTTTGTTTGTTTGTTTGTTTTTGTTTGTTTGTTTTAGAATTTGTTTACATTTCTTCTGCTTTTCTGCTTTTTAGCAGAGTAAAACAGGCAATAAGAGTGTGATCTTAAAACTTCTTAATTGCTTAATTGTATCTGAGGCAACATCAGTCGGAAATTAGTGGTGCATATGTGTTCAGGAGTCTGCAGAGCTCACCAAGAGAGATGAACAGACTCCATTTCAGGGAAAATGGTCTTTGGAGTTTCCAGCAGCTGCAGCAAGGAACCTACTGGAACATGCTTTGTTGAGCAGTATGCTTGGTCTGCAATTTGGCTAGATAAGGAAAACAGTGTTTGAAGAAAAGTGTGTTGTTTCAGTGGTGCACAGAGGGCCACCTCCTTGCAGCAAGAGCATGGAGAAGGTTGGAGGGAGCTGGTAAAATCCTGTCTCCATGTTAAAACAAACTGTCTTGGATATCAATTAACATCTAAACACGTTGAAGTAGCAGAACTAAGGTTGTCATACATGCCAGAAACTGCTTCAAGGAGGAAATGCCTGCACAAATACATCAACAAGGTGTAAAGGCTCAACCTTTTGGTGTCCTTGTTAATTGCTGAAAAAGCTTTCTGTGATGTGGTACACACAATTGAAACTAATTCAGAATTTCTAAGTAAAAACCAACATATAGCAAGAAAATACCTGTATCTAGTTGCTTGCACAAGATGAATTTTACTTTCATTTTAGACTGAATTAGACTGAACGTTTAGGCAAAAGAATTTGTTATTCTATTGTATCCACATTCGGACTGGATCTTTGATGAAGCTTTCAGACAGTAGCAGCTATGAACCAGACTCTGCAGGGACTCAGTTGTATTTGTCCTGCATTATTCCATGTACAATATCTATCAATGGGCTTGAAATTGAATATTGCTGTGTAGTTCCTTTTTGGTTTGTTTTTGTTTTTCTTATCCTTTTTGCCTTCTGTTTAGTTTTGCAGCCAGTTATGGTGAAATTGATAGATTTCATTAGCATTGCTTAATTATCCTTCACCGCTTCCTCTCCAACAACAAAATAAAACCCCAACAAAATCAAACGCAAAAAATATAAGATTGAAAGAAAGCTCTTTTTTACTAATTTCAGAGACACCAGCAAAATCTCACAAGCATCCCTTTAGGGAGGAAATGAATCAAAGCTTCAACAGCCACATTCAGCTATGTTTACTTACTTTATTGTCTCATGTATAATGGTTTTCAGAGAAATTACTGCATGATTATTCACTGTATTTAGTACCTGTCTGAGGTGCTTTGTAAAATATTTCTCTTTATCATCGGTCAACCAAATCATAATGACAATGCAAAGCCCAAATCTGGTAATTGCAAGGATCATGCTTCCTGTACCTGTAATTCACAACAACATTTTATTGAGAGAGATATGGAAAGAAGAAAGTCTATAGCAACTACATTTCCTTAGGGCATAATTACAACACACAATGCTCAAGCTTTTCCAGACAGCATGGAGAAAAAAGAGATTTAGAAGGATATTAATTATTTTGCATTGTAGTGTTCAGAAAGTTGAAGCTGAAGGAGCAGATTGATTTTTACCAGAAATGTTTTTAAAATTTTTATTCTTCAGTCTAATAAATGGTGTCATTTGTGACCTAATTTAAAAATTTCACTGGAATTTGAGTTTCAAGTCTTGGAGTGCTAAATCTAATTTATTTTTTTTTTCCAGAATATGTATTTTAATATAAAGTTTTTACAAAAAAATAAAGTTTTTTATTTTAAAAAATTTATTCTAAACAGGAAAAGGACATTCTTTTATTCAAGATTATCTATGCCAAATATAAAGTGAATTTTGGAAAAAAAAGAAGAACCAAAAGGGGGGACTAAATCTTATCAATATTCAAAGACTCTTCCAATAATAAACTATGTTGTTATTTGTTAGATTAGAAAAGATAAACAAGAAGCTGTAGACAAGAATCTAAAACTGGAAAATCTGCTAAGAAGCTTTCTCTATGCTTTCTGTGCATATAATATCAGAAACACTGTCATGTCATAAATAATAAATCCCTTTACCCCGTTTTCTTTTTCTTTGAAATTATCTATAGAAGACAACTGTATTGAGTGGGAAGGGGGTTGTGGAATTTTTTAAATAATTCGGGAAAAACTTGGGATGAAGTGTGCTGGTTCCTAATTATATGACATATAATTCTTTCAACTTTCTCTTCTTTTTAATTTTTTAAATTTTTAAACATTTTCTAGGAGACATCATTTAGAAAACAGATAAGCTATTGCCCAGAGACTTGACATGACAAATCCTATTTTTGTGCATCAGAACTCAGTACAAAATGTTATTTATTCTAATTGTGATGTCAGAAATCTATTGGAAGCGAAATTATGGATACTCCTTAAATATTCCTGAGGGTTCTGCTCTCTTTCTGGATTTTTTTTTTCTTAGCAAATTGATTCCTTCTGTTATTTTGCCTTCATACTTATCAGACTTATAATCATGTTGATTACCATATAAATTTCTTGTGTATTCTGAATACAGAGCAGGAAAATATAAATTTGGTGTTTTATGAGGAAAGTGTAATACAGCTATCTGCTACACTTTTAGAAAGATAAACCTGATACTGTTTTACAGGTGGAAAAGGATTTTGTGATGAGAAATGCAAAACAAAAGACTGCAGGGATATTCCTACAGTTTTGTTAAACTGAATGTCCTAATTCTGGAGGACATTCAGATTCAATGGTGTTGGCCATTTTCCAATTGAATAAGGCATTTTGTGGTTAGAATGACACCTCTGCAATGACCAGGACAAGAGTGCTTTTGATTTGGGACTAGCTTGGCTTTCATGGTGTGCATTTTTCTAATTTCTTTTGTTATCAGAGCACTTGATTGGTTATAAATAAGAGAGTTGCTGAAATAAAAAACAACAACAACAAAGAATTTGAACTTATTTTTTTCCACTTAGTCCAGATAGAGACATTTGTAGAAACTGAATGCAACACTACCTATCCTTGTGATTTATAAAGTGCCAGGTCCTGTTTCCTTGCTAAATATATTCCTCTTCTCAAATAGTACACATTCTTTCAGATAACTTGAGTGTCAGAAAAGTTGGAAGAAAATAAGTGTTTACACAGGGGTTTTTTTGACACAGTTTAGATGTTTGAGGAATTCCTTGATGTAATTGGTAGAGGCTCTGGAAATAATTTAGATTTGCAGGATCAACTGCGGTCTCTGCTGAACTCTTACTGCTTTGAATCAGTACAGAGTGATAAAGTGATGGGAAAAAATATATGTCTGGGAGATGTATATTTCTACATTTCAATTTTATAGCATTTTTCAGAATTCTACCTATAACATGTTCATCATGTGTGTGTGAAAGCTGAGGAGAATTTTCCATTTTTTTTAGGAGAAAAATCAGAATTTTTCTCCTAAAGCAAGATTGTTTGTCTAAGGCATAATTAAAAAAAAAGAAAAAAAAAAAAGTCAAACTTTATTTTGTGCAATGCTACCATAATATAGCTCGGAGGCTTAATAATAATTATTGAAGAATTAGTCTCAGGATACCAAATCATATTTAGTGTGTACCAAATCAAAATTCATCTAGAGAATAGAGGGATTTTGGTTTTAGTAATTTTTTACCTTTGTTATTCTCTTTGTAGAGACTATGGATGACTACACAGTAACTTACAGCAATATTTAAAGAATTTCTTCTAATATCTATTCTAAATCTGTCCTCCTTCTGTTGGAATCCATTTACCCTTATCCCATCACTACATCCCCTTGTAAATAGTCACTCTGCAGTTTTCTTGTTGATTCCTTTAGGCACTAGAAGGCTGCCATATTAAATACTACATTTGTTCTCAGGATATTAGAAGTTTGTTTTGGTTCCATGGGGGAGCCAAGTATTGGGAAAAATGCAGTGCATGTCAGGTTTTTTTTTTTCATTTCTTTTTAATTCAAAACATGACACTATTTTTAAAAAATGTTTTCATGTACTTTTTTATTTGCTTCATCTTTGTCACTGATGTGAAGTCATGAATGTTACCATTCTCACTGATTTATGCCTGAACTGTTGCTGCGGGGTGTTCTGCTTCTTGCATTTATTGCTATTATCTGTTATTGTAAATCAAGCTTCAAAATTGTTAATTTATTTCTCATCCTTATGACCTTCTATTATTTCTGTGTAATGGAAAAAGAATTGCAGTGGAGGAGTGAGAAAATTAAATACAGTGTTGTCTTTTCCTTTTATGTCAGCCAGAGACTAGCACAGTGGGATAAAATTCCATCACAGTAGTTGCTGCACAATTGAAACCACAGCCATGAAATAGCTTTCAAGTCTGTCCCTGGCATCCTGCATTTGAATAGATCTAGTCATATCTTATAACTGGAAAAATGGTTATTTAT